TCCCATTTCATACAATAAATTAGAATTCTCTCTTATTACAACCATTTCCATTATATAACTGAATTTTCCACTTGGGTACATTTGTGGGAACACATTCTGCATCTTGGTGAATATACATGGCAGCCTGTCTCTCCTGACCTCTTCTTTGTCCTTTATTCTAGTTCTTACTGGGTCTGTGTGGTATGGTGGGAAAAGCATGAACTGAAGGACAATCACACTAGGCTTCAGTTCCTTCTGTGCTACATATACACAATGGAATATTATTCGGCCATATAAAGGAAGGAAGTCCTGCCATTTGCAACATGGATGGATGTAGAGGGTGTTGTGCTAAGTGAAATAAGCCAGGTAAAGAAAGTCAAATATATATGATTTCACTTATTTTTGGAATATAAAAACAAAACAAAATGAACAGCAGTAGACTCACAGACACTGAGAAGTGTCTGGTGGTTACCATGGGGAGGGGATGGGCAGAGGATGAGGGGGATAAAGGGGCACAAAAATTGTCAATCATAATGTAAGTTGGTCACAGCAGTAGTGGTACAGAACGGAGGATATAGTGACTGATGCTGTAACATCTTCCTATGTTGGCAGATAGTAACTGCACCAGTGGAGGTGAGGATTTAATCATGTGGGTAACTGGTGAAACACTGTGTTGTACTTGAAACCAATATAAGATTGTATACCAACAATACTTCAATTTAAAAAAATCCTTTCTCTGTTGCTAACAATGCCTGTGTGAACTTGGACACTAGAGTCTCTGTGAATACCAAGTTCCTCAAGTATAAAGGAGATGATAATATTTAAGTCAGAAAAACAATGACGTAGAGAAGACTGGCTCATGCCAAGTCCTCTCCAGCCAGCAGTAGGGGAAGCAGAGCATAATGTGGCCATTTTAGCCAAGGCCACGGTTTTTCTTTCAAATGCCTGAGCTCCATGACGCTCCTGGGAGAGACAGTCTTCACTGTGGACCCCAGTCTGTGTCCCATCTATGGCCTCTTCACACAGGGCCCAGGCCACAAATAATCACAACTGCTAGCAGTTATTAAGCCCTTCCTCTGTGCCAGCACAGGGCTAAGGTCTTTCCCTTGATTAGCTCTGTCATTCTTCCAGCAACCTTCTGAGGCAGGATACTTACTGCACCCCTTTTAATGTGGGGGGAACTGGGAAGGTCTACGCCCTGTGTGGACATCCATATATATTAGAGAAGATGGGTATGAAAGCTGAAATGGTACACACTCCATGACGAATTTCTGAAGTACACACAGGGAGTCAATTAGTGCTCTGCACGGAGGCCTCCAAAATGCCTCCAAAAATCCTTGATTCACCTTTGAACATTCACAGTATGGCCGCTGCCTCCACCGTGAGCTCCTCTCTCCAAGCTCGGGCACCCTGGCCAGCTCCCCGCCAGAGGCCCTAAGGCTCACGTTCTCCTCACTCAGGCTGTTCCTTCTGAGCACCTCTCAGGCTGTCCCCAGTAGGGTGGGAGTGCTCCCAGGAGCATTTTAGATTCAGCAGATGAAGTAGTCAACCCCCCCTTCACCCGTGAGGGTTCAGTCCCCCCATATGGACCCGAGAGTCCTTGGCTCTGTTTTCCACCTGCCTTTGGATAATACTCTGGACTCTCCCACGGACTGAGAGTGGGGCATGTGGTGAAGGCCATAAGTAAGGGGCGCATGGCTTTGTGTCCATCTGATGTTTCTTTCGCCAGTCAGACAGTTTTTCTAATGTATATTGTTTCTTATTTTAAAAATTCCTAACCCTGAAGTCCAAAAAAATGCATACATAATCACATTCTCTGCATTTCTCTCCTTAGAAAGTTGATGGGTCAAATGGTAAGAAGACTTCCCAGGTGAGGCACCTTCTACATCGTGTAAAGGGCTCTGTCCGCTCCTGCTACCTGAGATCTGAGCAGCAGATCGCGGGAGCTGTTTCAGTCACTTGCCAGCCTCTGCCCTGGCAGTGCAGTAGAATTACTGTAGGTGTTTGAAGTGTGATGCCTTTAAAAAAAAGTAATGTTTAAAGGTGCCCAAGAGGAGAGCCACTGGAGTGATGGGTAAAGTGTAGCGCTCATGTCAGGCGGACCAGGGTCATGTGGACTCTGGCACTACCCCCAGTTGAACTTGGGGCACATTTCTGAACCTCTCTGACACCCAGTCTTCTCATTCCTGAAATGGGAGCAATACTTGGACTGTGGTACCATGCGGGCATTCGAGGGCATAAAGCATGCAAACTGCCTAGCAGAAGGCCTGCAAAATGAACAAAAAGTAGTGTGGCAGAACATGACAGAGACCACGCCTTTACCAGGTACATTTTCCTGGCTAAGGAGAAGGAGGAGCTTCTGGCCTTTCGGTTGGACTCTGTCATGCAGCATAGTGTCTCTGCTTCTCCCTTCTTACTCAGAATTTCTAATGGGCAGTTATATAGGCCTTTGATTAATATGAAGGAGTGTGACTTCATTACGGACTGCTGATTGACAGAAAGCCTTCAGCAATGGAGCCTATGAGGAAAAGAATTCCAAAAGTAGAGAGAATTCCTAATGGGAAAGAGTTTGAGAGCATATTACTGCCTTGAAATATGCCTTTTTTTTTTTTTTATCTGAGGAGTCTGTGGAGCACTCTAGCCCTATAAAGACTTGAGTGTCTTTATGTGGAATTGTCTACCTCTTTGTCTAGCCTTTCCACTGCACACCTGTGGAGGCAGCCTGTTGTTCTGATATTTATTTTATCCAGCCAAGTGCCATGGACTTCAACACACAAGTCCTATTGCTGGGTGGTAGTCAGTGGATAAAAGTTTTCCCAACACGTACACTGGGTGGCAGAAGCCAGTAGCACCCTGATGGTAAGGGCAGCACAGGAGCAGGGGGTGGAAATGTGGACAGGGAAGAGGCACATCAGCAGCTGATGGGGAAGTTAAGAGCAGGGCTCTGGTCACCAGACACATGGGCGCAGATGCCAGCTCTGCTGTTCATGAGCTGTGTAGCTTTGGGGATGCTCCTTATATGCTTTCTTCTGCCTCAGTCTCCCCATCTATAGAATGGAGATACTTGTACCTATCTCAGTGTTCTTGTGAGAACAAGTGAACAAGTAAACTTAGGCAGTGTGACATGGTCAAGAGCAAATGACACAGATAGTCAGAGCCAGACCAAGTAGTCGAAGCTCTAACTATGGGGTGTAGTGTTGGATTCTCCCAGAGGAGGACACCGCCCCAAATCACTCACGAAAGGCGTCTCTTGGTGCAATAAGCAAGAGGAATTTATTCAGGAACCAGCTAGCTGGGGTCCAAGTTAGCCCGACGCAGCGGGTCTCAACAAGGACCCTGAGCACACAAAGCCAGAAGGTTTTATAGCATTTTCAAAGGGGGCAACATTTTCCACAATCACAATACAGTGTTTTTTCATAGACACATAAATCTTTGGCTGGGGCCACATCCTGGGGTCTGGTTAGATAAGATTACCTTCGGAATGTTTAGGGTGGTTCTAGCAAGATAAGCTTGGTGTGTATGATTAACTGATTTGAGGTCAGCTAA